TGGTTTTCCCCGTCACCTCTGTACCTTGAAGACAAACTGCAGGGCTACACGAGCCGTACATTTGCATAATACTCGAGCACATGGGCGTCACGATAATGATACTTCGAACAGCAGAAATGCATTTCGGAGTTTAAAATGGAGGCTTTTACAGCCAATCTTATTCCTTAATACAAGTTTGAATTGGAAATGTTGTGGGTTTACTCTCCAACACACCGGTGTTCTGAAGTAGTAACAATTTTCACGTAATGTTTACGTGACAACCTTACGAATTGGCTGTTGGGTGGTGGTGGTGGTGGGTTTAATTACACATTTATATTTAGGCGATCTAACCCAAAAAACCTTTTGTGGATGCATATAGGATTTTGATATAGATGTCCACGGTGTGCATCGACTCATACCACCTGCTGTTCGGCATAATATCCGACGATTCACTGCATGTACAGGAAGCTTCTTAAGGAACAGAATGGAGTAGCTCACGTGTTGCCTCGATTATATAAAGTTGATGGCTGCTGCTGGCGCTTCATCTCAGCCAGACAAAGTTATTTAATAAATAATAACAATCAAAATAAGTAACATCGGCCGACCTACATCACACACCAGCGGCAGCCAGCATCTTTAAATAATTGAAGTGGAACCTAAACTGCCCCATTATGTTCCTGCAGAAGCTCCCGGAACGTAGATGGAAATCTTCAACATCGTACCGAACATCACGCGGTACAACCCGAAGATATACATCATACATCACAACCGCGAAAGCCCATGCAGGGGTCTAATTGGTTAATACAACGCATGTGATTCAACATTGCAAGTGACTGGATGTTCAACATCAAACCGGCACCCTGATGCCCTTGAGTTTATCTTAAAGGTAATATTAGTCAGTGCACTTGCAGCACAGCTATCATGTTGGAAAGCTGTTTAAAAAATGTCCACGTGAAAGGACATTTTATTTATCGTGTGTTACAATTCGCTTGTTGGGGGAAGGCAAGGAGAAATGGCTGATACAAGCATGCGACTTCATATGCTAGCACAGCTGATCTTACTCACAAGCAGTATGCTTACATACATTTTGAAATGTGTTCAACTTTAGGTCAAAGTTATATAGGCAATAAAATACTGAAAGGTAATTTCACGTGCTGTTTTAAAAGTCTCAAAACTGCCCATGTCATTCGCCAAAATAGCTGCTTCGTTTAGCATTTACATGAGTGCACTTAGCAGGGGAAGAAAGGGACTGATAAAACATCTAATTTGGCTGTGTAAGAAACTAAACTTAACATAATCACGCGTTGTCATAAAATGGCAGGCGGTGATTATTAAACCACTGCAGAAGTCTTGCCAATGTATAGATTTAAAAAAAATTGTGCAGCTCTGAGCTCCATATTTGAAAAAAATAATAATCATGAACCACTTCATTATTCGAATCAATTATTTTCATCATTCTTCACCATTCACATGATCAATCTACTGCTGGATGAAGGACTCTCCAAGATGTCGCCATCTGTCACATTGCTGCCATGTTCACAATCCACCGGGCACTCACCCACCCAAACACTCAACCACTCACTCACTGAAACACCAACTCACCCACCCACCTACTCACCCGCCCACTCATCCACTAGGGCGGAGTGGAGGTTTGGTTGGGGTCGATGTTACTGGGAGCTGGTGCTTGCACTATAGGAATATTGACAATTAAGATTCTTCTATACCACTGCAGAAAAAAAATCCATCTCGCACCTGTACACGATCCAAATTTCATTGCTCCATCTCCTGCATGGAATTCCTCTGAAACGCTTTCCATTTTAATAATTCATGTACATATCAAAGAGACACTGGTGGCTCCTACCTATTTGACAGTATTTTTTTTTAATAAACGCAATAAAAGTAGCTAAAACAAATAAAAGACAATTCTTACAAAAATAAACACTACAAATTATTCAAACCACTTTTTCTACTCACAACAAAGAGGCTGTGCTCTCATCGCTAATACATTGCTTACACTCAACCACATCGCATGGAATTGACATTTTCAAGATCACGAATACAAATTGTACTTCTCTTGCAAATACAGTGCGTTTGCCCACTGACAAAGAAATGATCAGTCTATAATTTTTATGGTAGGGTTATTTGGACAGTGAGAGACAGAATAACAACAAAATCCAGAAAAACGCATGTCAAAAATGTTATAAATTGATTTGCATTTTAATGAGGGAAATAAGTATTTGACCCCCTCTCAATCAGAAAGATTTCTGGCTCCCAGGTATCTTTTATACAGGTAACGAGCTGAGATTGGGAGCACACTCTTAAAGGGAGTGCTCCTAATCTCAGCTTGTTACCTGTATAAAAGACACCTGTCCACAGAAGCAATCAATCAGATTCCAAACTCTCCACCATGGCCAAGACCAAAGAGCTCTCTAAGGATGTCAGGGACAAGATTGTAGACCTACACAAGGCTGGAATGGGCTACAAGACCATTGCCAAGCAGCTTGGTGAGAAGGTGACAACAGTTGGTGCGATTATTCGCAAATGGAAGAAACACAAAAGAACTGTCAATCTCCCTCGGCCTGAGGCTCCATGCAAGATCTCACCTCGTGGAGTTGCAATTATCATGAGAACGGTGAGGAATCAGCCCAGAACTACACGGGAGGATCTTGTCAATGATCTCAAGGCAGCTGGGACCATAGTCACCAAGAAAACAATTGGTAACACACTACGCCGTGAAGGACTGAAATCCTGCAGCGCCCGCAAGGTCCCCCCTGCTCAACAAAGCACATATACATGCCCGTCTGAAGTTTGCCAATGAACATCTGAATGATTCAGAGGACAACTGGGTGAAAGTGTTGTGGTCAGATGAGACCAAAATGGAGCTCTTTGGCATCAACTCAACTCGCCGTGTTTGGAGGAAAAGGAATGCTGCCTATGACCCCAAGAACACCATCCCCACCGTCAAACATGGAGGTGGAAACATTATGCTTTGGGGGTGTTTTTCTGCTAAGGGGACAGGACAACTTCACCGCATCAAAGGGACGATGGACGGGGCCATGTACCGTTAATCTTGGGTGAGAACCTCCTTCCCTCAGCCAGGGCATTGAAAATGGGTCATGGATGGGTATTCCAGCATGACAATGACCCAAAACATGGCCAAGGCAACAAAGGAGTGGCTCAAGAAGAAGCACATTAAGGTCCTGGAGTGGCCTAGCCACTCTCCAGACCTTAATCTCCTAGAAAATTTGTGGAGGGAGCTGAAGGTTCGAGATGCCAAACATCAGCCTCAAAACCTTAATGACTTGGAGAAGATCTACAAAGAGGAGTGGGGCAAAATCCCTCCTGAGATGTGTGCAAACCTGGTGGTCAACTACAAGAAACGTCTGACCTCTGTGATTGCCAACAAGGGTTTTGCACCAAGTACTAAGTCATGTTTTGCAGAGGGGTCAAATACTTATTTCCCTCATTAAAATGCAAATCAATTTATGACATTTTTGACATGCGTTTTTCTGGATTTTTTTTGTTGTTATTCTGTCTCTCACTGTTCAAATAAACATACCATTAAATTTATAGACTGATCATTTCATTGTCAGTGGGCAAACGTACAAAATCAGTAGGGGATCAAATACTTTTTTCTCTCACTGTACATTTCCATACCCCTTACACAGGGTGTGCAGTTCGTTGTCCATTCTGTACATACTACAAGCAAGTCAAATCAGAATAAAAATAACACACCTGCAAGGGATGTCATATCTAGACCAAACAGTCATATACCTTCCGGATTATCGCTACCTCAAAATATTTCATAATTTAAACCTCAACGTTGAGTGGTGGCTCGCACTGTCACGTTAGGTGACCCAGCAAATACATGTGTGCCTGTGTACGTGATGCATGTGTATCCTGTACATATTAAAAAAAAAAACTATATTTGAGTTACATTAAATATGGATTTTTTCGGTGGTCACTGCCACGAAAACCTGCCGGGAAGTCGTTATTTCGCCGAGCTCACAAGACGTGTCCCGTCTCGCCCGAGCAGCAGGGAACTTAAAACAGCGAGGAACGTGGGCTTCGGGGAGGTCCCGTTGGTGGGGGGTTCCATCCCTGGCCCCCTCTAAGGAGGTGAGGGAGCCCCTACGCCTAGATGTGTATAATAAATGAATGCATATGCAAACGAATTAAAGCATTTGCTAACTTCTCTGAGTGCTGGGCACCGGAGTGATGTTCTCATGTCTACGTACGGAGCATGTCAGTGATGATCCAACAGAAAAAACGAAATCAATAAAATATTATTGTGGTTAAAGGTTTATACAGTGAAATAGTGAACGCTGGAAAATGTCAAGGAAAGCAAACTGATTTTCCTTTCCGTTTCTTCATTCTATATTGAGGCTTGGATGGGCTCTGCTACATGCACATTAAGGCACCTTCCCAACACTCGGCCATATAAATATAACTTCCACTGCGTAACGTGTGGAACGAAGCTTTTACTGGTGATGTACCGGGTGGGTGTGGTGGAAATCATGGAAAACTGAATTCACCGATACAATACTTCATATTTTGACTTAAAACTTTCGTGACTGCAGGATGAAGACCGCTTGTGTTGCGATCGAAACGTCGTGGGTTTTTTGCTTGTATTAAAAATTCTAGTTGTAATTTTATTTGTATTTTCTATCTACGTGACTTTACCGAAAGAACCAAAGAATAATACTTCATATGTTTCCAGCGTTTGCAGGGTGGGTGGGGGGGGGTAAAAGGTTTCTTAAAATGTCTTAAATACTTAATTGTTGTTCATTGTCTCAACATAATTCACCGTTGGCAATTATGATAAACAAACGTGGACCGATTGATTCATTGTGCGCCCCCGTATGCGACAGACGATTACGCAACTACCAAAGTTGTATTTGTGTTCATAATGTACACACGACGATAATGCTCAAGATTATTGCCTGTGGTTATTTATAGAACTGCTGCATCGGCGGAAATGTCGTGAACAAGTTGTAAATGATAGTGGAAGTGAAATCAACATCATTCACAGAATTTAATGTGCAAAAAAGGTAAGAAAACACTGATAAAAACTAAACCAAAAAAACATCTACATTGAAATGTAATGCTAATGGAAGACCACGAGTGCACAAATTATCGGCGCCCACAAATTCTCCACTAGCAAATGTTTAAAAATTATTAAATTTAAATAGTAATAAGTATCACCATAATCCAACATTATAGCCTGTTATGAGCTTCTAACAATGCCAGGTCTTGGACAGAGCAAGGGGCGTTCCAGGAAATATTGATCTCCCGACGGGACGAGAAGTCATGGTCAAAACAAAGCCTTCGACAGAAGCAGAGATCCGTTCACACGGCGGCAGGCGGGAGGGCCCAGTAGGGCCGGCCTTCTGAACACGCCGAGCCCGGCTTATTTACAAGCTTCAAAACTTCCTTCGCAAGACCGAATTATAAACACAGCGGATCCTGTGATAACACGATAGAAGAATTCAAAATGTGTGCATTCGCATTCATGTTCAAGGAACTCGGGAAGCGGTTGAGAGTTGGCGCAAATTGCGACGCCGGAAATTTTTTTCCAACGGGCGAATTGAAAAAAATGTCTGTGGAGGACACTCGAGGCGGCCGCAAGCAAACCAAGGCAAGACACCTGCCTGCTGCTCAGCCGTCCTCTCCCCCGTGGGGCGCGATTCCTCCCCGCCGCAGGACGATGCGCATGGGTACTCTGCAGTCTGGCGGAGAGCAAGATGCTTGGAGGGTGGTGCGTGGAGGGGAGGTTTTGGGTGGGGGTGGGGGGGGGGGGCATCATCTGCCCCTGTGTACACTGATCTTGCCGGCCTCGGTCAGCTGCTTGATGATCTTCTCCTCGTGGTCGGCGTCGTGCACCCCCGTCTTGCGGAACTCGCCCGAGTAGCGGTTGTTTTCCCAGTAGTGGTGCCAGTTGCCCCGGCTGTCGGCACCGAATCCGTACACGTCCACCTGGCGGGGGGCCGGTGCGCGAGCGGTGGAACGGTCGCGTTTAAAGCAAGCAAACGCTAATTATTTGTGACTTAAAACGTTACATTTTTTTTATTTTTCCCGGGAATGGTCGAAATTTCTAGGTTTTGTTTTTATATTTACGTCAAGAGGCTTTTGTCCGTACCTCGTCGCAGACGTGCAGCGCGAAGAAAAGCGCCACCATGCCGGTGGAGGGGTAGCGGCCATGGTGCTCCGTCCAGCTGTCGTGGATGTATTTGAAGAAGGCGGGATTGTAGATGAGCACCTGCAGACGGGAGTGGTCACTTACTAAGGAGCCGATCGCACGTAAAACGCCGTGGCGGATGCCAAGCACAGGATGCGGAATATCCTCATCGATCCCGGCTCACGCACAGATTTCGTTTGCTCTTACAAATGTATGGCTTAGCTTATGGAGGCCAGACGAAGGTCCGTGCTGCCTTTCATCATGCTACGTAACAAAACATTCAGCCGCTTCATCATTAGACCTCCTTTGCCAGTACCAAAATGTAATAATAGGGTTTTTCCCCTGTGGTTAATGCAGACATGAATCCTTGTAAAAAAAAGTTTTCAGTTTTGTTGCCAGTAAAAAGGGGAAAAACCCTATTATTATTATTATATTCAGCCGCTTGTCAATCGACTGCTGGAAGAAGGTCATACCACGCTGTGTTGGTCATGGAGGTTGCTTGACCGTACTTCACTATGCTGACCAGTGCAGGCTGGTAAAGGGGAAAGGGGCCCAGGACAGGTTCAGATATTACTCACCACTCATGGTAGTCAGGGCGAGGAATCAAACTCAGATCCGGGTCAGGTTAATAGCACAATGCGCTAACCACTGTACCCCCCCCACCACAAAAATCTTACGCAATTAAAACAAATACACAAATATATAATTGATGAGCAATACATAATTATAAACAAATATTAAAGTAAATGTCGATTTACAACTGTGCTATTAATACGTGTTTGCAATAATACAATGAATGTTGTTTATTTGCAGTGCAATAGAATTGTTGTTGTCAATGGCCATTAATTTCGGGTAATTGTGCTTTGTTTTCATTGAAAATCAGCCGGCAAGGCAGAGGACCTTATCAGAATTGCATTTCAGCGGCAATCCCCAGTGGGGTGCGGGGGGCTTATAGGTCAGGGCACAACACGGGAGTATTCCGTTCGTGCGGCTAACTGCGACAAATGGGCATTCAGCCAAAATGGGACAAGAGCAGGAATGTAAACTGTACTGATGCGTTAAACATCAGTACACTCACACTTGCGCATAACAAAGACCGAGATCCCTCCTGTCGCCTGGTTCGCTCCCATGATGGGGGGTGGTGGTGTGGCCAGCACCATGCCCGGCCTCTTTTTTTTGTCTCTGCAGTGCTGATGTTTGCATACCACACCAGGTACTCATTTCAGGCAGAGTCAAACTAGCGGAAGGGCAGCTCGGGGCCAGTTCACATATCCATCACTGGTGTTAGCTGTCAGCAGGAATACAACTTGGGTCGCCAGATTCGTAACGCCGTGGTGCTAACCACTCCCGCTTCTGCATCCCCTTTCCACACACAAAGACAACGATCCCCCCCGTATAGCTTGTAACAGACTGTCGGGGCAAGTGCTGTTAGCGAGCACCTATGAAGGCCGGAACTGCACACGAGGGAGTGGGTGGCCAGCACCACGCCCGGTCGCCTTTGTCTCTCCAGTGGTGATGTTTACACACCACAGCAGGTACTAATTTGAGGCTGAGTCGACCTAGGGGAGGCCCAGGAGCGGCTCAAGTAATCGTCACTGGTGTTGGCTGTGAGCGGAAATCGAACCCGGGTTGCCGGCTTCGTAGCGCAGCGCGCTAACCACCACACTAACCACGACACTACCGCTCCCCCCCCCCCACACACGTACAGACAGTATGTCATGACCTCTAAATGAAAACAAGGATATGGATTTCAAGTAAGCGGGAGCAAATGAGTCAGGATTTGGGAAAGATAAAAAATGCATACAGAAGAACAAAACGACCATTGCATTTACTGATTATATTGTATTGTCAAAAAAATTAACAGCAATTTTTCAATGAGGTAGGTTTTCACAGTTGTGTTGTAGAAACTCTACCAATATGTTTTTTTTTGGGTTGTGCAGTGTAGTTCGGCATTATGCACGGTACGCACACGCTGGGAGCTTCAGTTCCCGAAGAATCTTCGAACGCGTGGAGCGGAGGCTCCGGCCATCGCGCCCAACACCGCACGGTTACGCCCTTTGTTAAAACCAAACTTGCAATTCTGAAAGAGCTTTTTAAACGTGTTCAAAACAGCTTATTATGTCTGCTCCGACTAAATGCAAATAATTATCAGATGCACGGAGGCCAGGAATGTCGACAGAGAACCCCGATAAAGCCAGAGCTCTACTACGCAAAGGCCGTTTCTTCAAAACAACAAGATACTTACGATACATCTTAATGAACGTTTAACCAATTAATCAGTTTCTAATGTGCGTGACGTGACTTAACAGCTCAGGTAATTGCAGGCTGTCGCGCACGCACACACACGCGCGCACACCCCCGGCTGCCGATTTACATCGTGATGGTTTTGGAAGCTGCCTGCAGCTACGGGGAATAGTGTCAACAGACAGGGGTGTAACAATTAGTTGACAAAGACAGATCGGGCGGGCACAGCGTTGGGTTTCTTGCAGGGTGAGAGCAGAGAGATAATGGAGAGAGGGGACTCGGTGGCTGAGGAAGATCGGATCACGCTCGCAATTTGTCAAGTAGCCGGCCCCCCCCCCCCCTCCTTCCCTTCCCCGGGACGGCAAATGAATTCTGGATACATGGCACTGCATTCCCAAGGTCTTAGAAAGGACAAATGCACAGATGCCAGAGAGGAAGGATTACACTACGGTGTGTTACAAGCTAGACAGGTAATACGATGGCCAATCGCAAAGGCTTGGGCATACATACATACAAACACACATGTATGGCCTTAAATACCACTACCGAATTTCGAAACACAAATAGGATTACATTTTATTATGACGAGGGATGCATTCTTGCAGTTACATTGAGAGACCGAAAGAAGTTCACGTGGATTACAGATCGTCGGCAGATTAAAGACAGCATTCAAAACAGAGTGGCCTTGGGGAGGGCACATCACTGGAGGGGTCCGGTGGGCAATGGTCAAAAATAGTGATGCAGTGGCAGCCAAGGAACGTAACGCATTCGAGAGGATGTCCCCCGAGGAGACGGAGCGACTAAAAGCAGCCCATGTACGAGTGCTGCAGAAATGCGAGAGGTGGTGTCGACTCGGCGATGCCTTCACCCAGCAGTGGCTTGATCATACGCTGATGATGACCATGATGATTATAATCCATTATGCCTTTGGGTGCCGATTCAAATGCACCACCATGCCGCCACTCAAGTCACAGCACACACTTATAGGGACCTTGTTTGGCAAACGCTGGGATCACCAACCGTGACTGCAACGCATCTCAACTTTCAGGCACACGTTACATTTGCCGTCCTTCAGTTTCGTCGCGCGGTGACCTCAGCATTACCGCTCAAATGAAGCCTCCCTCGCCGTCTCGTCCGCTCTCCACGCCGCCTTCCCGAGGCCGTCGGATGATATTCTAAATAAATGAATAAGGGCCGCCTAGACGGCCACGGGAAGACAAGCCGGGAGCTGCCTCCGTGCCGAAAGCCAATAAGATTAGGGAAGACAAATGCAGGCTTGTGTCACTCCCCCCCTCAATTGTGCATTTATTGTCCCGCTGTCACAACACAGCGGTCAATGATCTTTGTTCTGTGGTCACGCACGAGGTCGCGGTCTGCATACGCAGAATGCACACGCCATAGTAACGTGGTTTTAACTTTGTGCGGTAGTTACAACAAAGCAGCGTTTCATATAGTAATGATTATGATGTTAATAATCACGGCCCTTTGTCAACCCACAGCTGGATGAAGACTTCCTCATGCCGGATCAGTTATTGGGGTTGTTTGACACATACATCACCATGCTGGTCACTGAGGGTTGGTTGAAGGGGTTGAGGGGAGGGGAGGGCAGGGAGGTGGAGGCCAGGACCGGTTTGAGATATCAGAAAAGGCAGACACGAAATGAGTGGCATTGGTGGGCGGTAGATGGCAACAGTTTGCGGTTGGAGTCGTGTGGGTGGCGAACGGGAAGGATGCTGGAAGTAACGAAATAGTCTGTGAATAACGGTCGCGCGTTTGAAGCCAAGTTTTTAGAGATTACAGAAATTCTATCGTCGCCGCCACCAGAGAAGCGAGGGTGCTCATAGTTGCTGGCTTGCCAGGGGGTACACTTACGAAGGTCCATTCATACGCCCTCTGCTCCACCAAGCAAAGCTCTCTGTCGAAGTACCCCCACAGTTTAACCTTCACGCCCGTTGGAAGTTACTCCCCTCCTCTGCTGTCCACACAGTCTGGAAACTCCCTCTGACCGGCCATCGAGCACGGTTGCCTACGTACGGTGCGAAACAAGTTCAACATACACAAGTCTGCAGAGCTGTTCTCCACTCCTGTTCAAGTTCATGCCTTCGTCTTCTCCTCTGCCTATGGCCGACTGTCTCTTCCCCTCAAGTAAAAAAAGAAAAATCATAAATATATAAACGTAGCCTTCCCCCCCCCCGCCCCCAGTGATGAACCTGCCCCACTGTTTAGTACAACAACTTAAAGATGCGGCTGCACTTAAGACTTTCCGTAAATACACACGGTATTCCTAGGTTCAAAACGGATTTCTTGAGAACAGTTGTTTGTGTTTAGTTTGTTGCCCGTCCCCCCCACGCTTGGCTACGTACAGTGCAAAAGAAGTTCAACATACATACATACATACACGGCTCCCTCCCAATTTCACGCTAGTTTCCATATTTACATTTGTGCATTTGTTCATCTACATTTAATTTATCTTGGCTACACATTCATTACTAATGTCAACATTACGTGCTGAAATTGAACCATTATTAATCGAGAGTCCTGGTGCACATATAGACTGTGAACATGTTTAACACGTGTCTGCTCATTTACCTATTTGCCAACACTGCAGACACACCGATGCATTCAAAAGAATCCAGCAAAAAAAGACGAATCCGCATAAATATTCAAGAGATTGTCTGCCGTGCGCCGCTGCGCAGAGTGTCACGCGTGCCCTTGAGCACGCGCGAAATTCAATAATCCAGAGGCTGAAAACGCTGCGAGGTGCACTGCGACAATTCCAAAAAAACCTGGGGGACTTATTGCTCCCACGAGAAGTTGTCACTCCCCTTGTGGCTCAG